GCACATCAGGTGCCCTGACTTGGCTCAGGATTCAGACTTAGGTTCAAATCCTGCCTGCCAACCCAGGAGCGTGCTCTGGTAAATTCTCAGAAGTACCCCCCAAGTGTTGAGAGGTTGAGAAAGCAGGTGTGTGTGGGTGGCTGTACCAGGACTCCCTGGGCACAGGACTGTCCCCTCTCCAAGGTCCTGAACCTCCATCCTCTGCCCCAGGCACCTCACCCTTCCCAACAACCAGGACTGAGGCCCTCCTGGGAGGAGAAGAGCCACCATAACGGGGTGCAGGTTGGGGAAGGGGGCCTCCAGCCCACTCCTGCCTCAGGGTCTGCAGGAAAGGGCCCTGTTCTCTAGAAAAGCTGACCTCACCAACCCCTTTCTCCACCGTGGACAGAAGCACTGCCAGAGGATGGGCTGATCTGGAAGACTTGGCAGGGAGGGGACAAGGGAGTGGCCCCGGTAGGGAGGTGGGGTGCTAGAACAGCCCCGACCTGCACCTGCCCTGCGCAGCTACCTTGGACCTGATAGTTTCCAGGGCGCCTGGAACTGCAGTCATCATGGGGGTGGGGAACGAGCCTCCAGCTGCACAGCCCACTTCTTGAGTGGCATCAGGGAGGTCACTTGCCCGCTGTGGGCTCCACACACCCCACCCCCAGCCCCTCACTGGACTTGGAGCACCTTCTGGCGTGTAATTGCAAGTTAACTTCATTCCACCACCCCCCAACTCTAGAAGAATCTTACACCCAGGCTTGGGGGTGAACATTGTTTCCCCAGGTCTCCCCACTCCTAGGGAGACAAGGTGGGGTCATGATGTGTGGGCCACACGGCAGAGTGTCCGTTAAAGGAAGACGTGGTGGCTACTTATGAGGCCCTTACCCAACCCAGGTCTCCTTCCTTAAACCTTATAGCTGCTCGTGAGGAAGGTAGATGACATGCCCAAGGCCACACACCTAGTAAGCACACGGTGGAGGACACCAGACAGCCGGCCTTCGGAGAGCCACTCCACTCGACCTGCCCTGCGTGCCTCCTCTGCAGCTCAGCCCAAGCATCCTTGGGCCCCAACAGGGACATCACCAGACGTCCACTCTTCTCCTCCAGCTCATCTTACCAAGCTCCAGGAAGGTCCATCCCCAGGGTGACCCCAGGAATGCTGCTGGCAGGGGCTCTGGGCCTGAGTCTGAATCTCAACTGCGTCCCCATTGACTGTGGCGTTGAGCCGCTCACAGCTCCTGGCTTGCTTGCCTTGTCTGTCAAGTCTCTGGGAGCGCTGGTCCTCACCTGTGACACGCTCCGTTAAGCAGCGTTGGTCATGCAGTGCTTGTGCAGCTTAGTGGGAATCAGGACTGCCCGTCGGGGCACAGGAAGGGAAGAGGAGGCCCCAAGTTGTTGAAAGGGTGGGGTCGTTGGGGAAACAAGGATGCCTGACCTGGACGTTGAGGCTGTCTCTGTGTAAATCCTTCCACTTCCCCAACTTTTAGTAAAGTTAAGTTTAGCATGTTAAAAGGACTAGCGCTGGACCCCACATCTAGACAGACAGGATGGAGACACGGACTGATGGCCTGAAGCAGAAGCGGGGCATTCGGAGCAGGCGTGACCCGAGCCCCGAGGTCCCAGAAATCCCGGAAAGGGTCATGAACAGGCCCCGCCTGTGGCATCGAGGATAAAATTGATCCTGTCTAGACCTTTCTGGGTTTTGTGTTGTTATTTTAAGTAAGCTTTATGCCCAACACGGGGCTCCAACTCACGACCCCAAGATCAAGAGTCGCGTGCTCTACCTACTGGGACAGCCAGGCGCCCCCCTGCCTAGAGTTTGGAAGTTATTTATCACAACTAGCGCTGCCCCGGTTTAAGGATTCCAGTAGTTGCAGGTGGATCATTAGAAGGAAAATGGCGGCCCTCCTCAGCCACTTGGCTTCCTGCAGAGCCAGCCACGTGTACCTCTCCCAGCTGGTGGTTCTGGTATTGACCTGCACGTCTGTATCCTCTTGTATTACCGCGTTTTAGCTTGTCGGTTTCGGTCATAATCTGTTGACTTGCCACTTAGGGAAGCTGAGGATTTAGTTCTTTCCTTCCCTGACCCAACAGCACTCTCAACAACGAAATGATCACCTCGGTCAGGGCCATGTTCAGTGTCGACGCCGTCACATCTCTGTAAACACCGCTCTCAGCCGGGAGTCGAGACTATCCCCCGTCCAGCTGCTGCTTGTCCCTGGAGGTGTTTCGCATTTGCTTAATTTGTAATAAATTCATCACACCAGTTTAGCCTCGAACTTTTTACCAAATCTTGAAAGCTTTTTTTTTTTTTTTCTTTTTTAAGGTCTCTGGACTCAATACATGTCATGAGGATCTGGACAGAATGCTAATCAATTTTTTGGTTATGAGATCCTAGTATCCAGCACATTATAACTCATAGTTAATTCACGATCACACTGAATTGGAGATTTCACTAATAGGAAATATTAATCTACATAATATACATTTCTCCATTATGATTTATACCAGAAAGTATATAACACTCTCATTTAAGAAACAAAAACTACGGAAAAAGTTTTTTTAAATCTCTAGACTCTACGAGTGTTCTGTCCTGAGCATTCTGACTACCCCCAGTGGAACTCCCCATCAGAAGTCTTGTTTCTTGGACTTCCATACCTTCGTTTCTTGGTTTACTCCCTTGTCTGGGTGAACCATATTCTATAGTAACTTTCTGAGGAAGGGGACAGGGGATGCAAAGTTTTACAACTCTGACACCCATCTTTGTTCCATCTTCGTGCTTAATTGGTGGGTATAGAATTTGGATGGGTATAGAATTCTATGTTGGAAATCATCTTCCTTTAGCATTTTGGCATTTGCTCTTTTCCATTTTTATAGATTGTCTATTGCTGTGTTGAAGATTTGCCCAAACATAGCAGAGTGATGTCTTTTCTGTGGGTCAGGATTTGGGAAGTGGCTTAGCTAGTTGATCCAGCCTAGAGTCATTCGTAGGTTGCAGTAAAGCTGTAGGCCAGGGCTGCAATCACCTGACCTTAACTGGAGCTAGAGGATTCGCTTCCCAGGTGGTTCCCTCACGCAACCAGCAAATCACACCAGTGGTTGCCAGGAGGCCTCAGTTCTTCCCCATGCGGACCTCTCCATAGGGACGCTGAGTGTCCTCACAACATGGCGGCTGGCTTCCCAGAGCAACGGATCCCAGAGAGACAGATGGAAGTTGCAGGGTCTTATATGGCCAAGCCCCAAAGTAACACACCGCTTCAGCCATATCCCACCCACAAGCCTTACTCCATTTGAGAGGAGACTGCATACAAGGGTGTGAGGACCCCAAAGCGGGAATCTTTAAAGGCCATCGTGGAGGCTGGCTTCTAGTTTCTGGTGTTGTTTGGGGAACTCTAAAATAATTCTTTTCCTGATATTTTGTATGCGGATTGTTCTGTTTTCTCTCTCCTCAGTTTGTAGAAAAAATCATTTTTCTCTTGAGCCTTTTGAGATATGATGTGTAAACTTCTATTTTCATCTGTTGTTCTGGGCACTGGGGACACTTTCAGTCAACAAACTCATGTTCTGTTTGGGGACATTTCTTTGCATTCTTTTCTTTATAATTTCCTCTCCTCTATTTCCTTTATCTCTGTCTGGAATTCCTCTTCTTCAGTCTTTGACATACGGTACAAATCTGTTCATGTTCTCATCTTTACTGTTTTTCATTTCTTTCCGGCTCTATTTTCTGGAAGATTTCTTCCATCTTATCTTCCAAATAATTGATTGAGCTTTTCATTTCTATCCCACTTTTTATTTCCCAAAACCATTCTTTGTTCTCTGAATGTTTTTTCTTTTTCTTTTTTTAATTTTTTTAAAGATTTATTTATTTATTTATTTATTTGACGGAGAGAGAGACAGCGAGAGAGGGAACACAAGCAGGGGGAGTGGGAGAGGGAGAAGCAGGCTCCCCGCGGAGCAGGGACCCCGGTGCGGGACTCGATCCCAGGACCCTGGGATCATGACCTGAGCCGAAGGCAGACGCCTAAGAACTGAGCCACCCAGGCGCCCTGAATGTTCTTTTTAAGTACTTTCCTGTTCTTGCTTCTTATTTTTGCTTCTCTTTTCCCTCTGAAGATGTTAATGATTATTTCACTTTGGTTTGGGGTATTTTCTTCTCCCTGCTTTGTTTCTGTACTCTTCGGTTGGTTGGCTGATTTGGAAGACTCTCTCTTGTGTCTGAGGTTTTCCTTGAATGTTCTGCTCATATGTAAGAGTGGGGACTAAAAAGTTATTTGGAAGCTCTGAGCACATGACTGGGGCTTGTCCGCTGAGTTTTCACCCCGGGGGATGTGGCTGAGCCATTTCCTGGGAGAACCTTCCAAGTCAGTGTCCTCAGGCCTTTCCTCCTGGACTGGCCACACTTGTCCAGCAACAAGGGAGAAGCCTGCCCCGGGGGGCTGCCTGGTTCTAGGAGTTGAATCAGGAGGAAGGCTGGGGCTGTCAACATTCAGTCTGTCTGCTCAGTGCTCTGTTTTCTGGCTGTCCCTCCCTGCTCAGCGGGACTTAGAGTTGCTTTCTAGAGGGCAGTTTTCACCTGTCCGTCTGTGTTTCCAGCTTTCAAAATGGTGAGGCTGCCTCCTCTCCCATATCCCCCATCCTCATGCACACGTGTGTTTTTAAAAATTCTCTTTCCCATCTTGCGTAGGGAAAAAGTAGATGCAGGAGGGAGGGAGCAAAAATAGATGCATCCCCAAGTCTCCCCAGAAGCCATCATTGTCTTGATCATTGTCATGGAGGCATCCCCACACCCCGGCTGGCCTTGGAAGTTACACACTGAGGGAAGGAACACGGAAGTTAAGGGTAAGGGACGGAGCCAGGATTTATTCCGGGGCTAAGTGTTGTTCAGGTCCAGCTCCTGGCTCCCGGAGCGACCTCCCCGCCTTACCTGACACTCGGGGCAATCCGGAGTCATGGGGTCAACTCCCAGAATCCCAGGGTCAGGGAGGCTGGGGGCAGGGCCAGGCATTGGACAAACAGACCAAAGGTGAGACGCCGTGCGGCTCCAGACCGGGCCTGGTCAGCTGGACGGGTGCACAATGAGGTGATTGGGAGCCCCCCACCGTCTCCCCGGCAGGGGCGAGGGGTCAGAACAGGGCTCCTCACCCGCCCCCCCACCCCCGCCGCCGCCCTCAGGCTGCTGGTCTTCCTGGGCTTGCTGTGGGGCTCAGCAGCCACACTCCCCGGCCCACAGTGGCCTGAGCCCGTGTTTGGGCGCCTGGCATCGCCTGGCTTCCCCGGGGAGTACGCCAACAACCGGGAGCAGCGCTGGACCCTGACGGCACCCCCCGGCTACCGCCTGCGCCTCTACTTCACCCACTTCCACCTGGAGCTCTCCTACCTCTGCGAGTATGACTATGTCAAGGTGCCGACAGCGGGGAGGGGCACGACCCCGACCCTCTGGAGGGCTGGGGGGCAGGGACCCCTGGGGGCAGGGAGGGAGGGAGCGAGTGCGGGCCTTGCGTCTCGCCCTCCCTCCCCGTGACTCCAACCCTACAGCTGAGCTCAGGGAGCAAGGTGCTGGCCACGCTGTGCGGGCAGGAGACCACGGACACGGAGCGCGCCCCCGGCAATGACACCTTCTACTCGCCGGCCTCCAGCCTGGACGTCACCTTCCGCTCCGACTACTCCAACGAGAAGCCGTTCACGGGCTTTGAGGCCTTCTACGCAGCAGAGGGTGAGGCGAGAGGAGGCTGGGGTCGGGCGGAGGGACGCGAGATGGCCCATCGGCCCGCGGGGGTGACTCTTTCTTAGGCCAGGCCAGCTCTCCCTTCGGTCCCCTCACCTCCCTGAAGCTGGGTTCCTGCCAAACCAGCGGGCGCAAACCAGCGGGTGAGGAGTCCAGCCCTCCGTCCAACACCAGCCCCAGGGCAAATATCAGCAACAGCCGTGACCCCTGCCCTCCAGCTGAGCCCCATGGTGTGCGGGGTGCTGAGCTGGGACGTGCTGAGCCAGGGACATTCTCCTAGCGCCACCCCCCCCCCGCCGCCGCTCCCCCATGAGGCTAGGGCCCAGTGATCCCACCTCTGGGTGGGAAGTGCAGCCCCACCGGCCTGAGCCCCGCTGAGGACACCCAGCCTGTGCTCCCTGTGCGTGGGCTTCCAGCCGAACACTTGATTTCAGATAGGGGCTCCTGCAGGGACCAGCTGTGTGACCTCGGGCAAGTGGCTCCACCTCTCTGTGCTCCTCAGGAGGCTGCAGCAGGGCTTGCTGGAACCTGGGTCATAGCCCCGCTCGCTGGGCTCGACGGCTGGTTGCTCCTGCTGGTCGCCCATTAGCTGCATGACTTTGAGCAGGACACTTAAGCCATCACTCGTTTGAAAAAAGGGGGGTACTGACATCTACCTCCAAGTGTTCTGAGAAGGTTATAGTGAGCCTCAGCCTGTTCGATGCTTGGCCGGGCATCAGCCACTTCCAGACATGAGGAGACACCTCTTGGGTCAGCCATGAGGCTGAGTCTGCTCCCGGGCCCCAGTACCACCTCGTCTCCTCCCCTCTGACCACCTGCCTGACCCGCCCCTCCCCCAGACATCGATGAGTGCCAGGTGCCCCCGGGACAGGCACCTCCCTGTGACCACCACTGCCACAACCACCTGGGTGGCTTCTATTGCTCCTGCCGCAGGGGCTACGTCCTCCACAGGAACAAGCACACCTGCTCAGGTGAGCCGCACCCGCTCAGGTGCGCCGGGGCTGGGGAAGGTATGGGGCAGACACTGTGCCCAGCCCAGCCCCCACCTTGGCCCAGAATACAGCCAGCTCCTCAAAGCCATAAGTGCTCTGCCCAGGGGTCTGGAGGGACCACTGACCTTGGCCTACTGGGTACTCCTCCTGGCAGGCTGTCCCCTCCTGCCATCTTTGATCTTTGGTCCCCTCCTGCCATCTGTCCATCCATTCATAATCCGGAATCCCTCCCCCTCCTCCGTTCCATCCTTGGCTCCCTCTCATGGGTCTTCAGCCCGCCCCTTGGATCATATGTGTTGGGCCCCCCCTGTGTACCTACCGTGTCTGGGCTCCAGGCCCCTGCTACAGCCACCTGGCCCTCCTCGGGCTCCCAGGTTGGAGGAGTGGGGAACAGAGGCCCGGCTCACACAGGCTTCCCTGCACAAAACTTCCCAGTCGGGGCAGGGCGTGCCCAAGGCGGCTGGCTCCCCAGCAGGCCGACCCCTTTGGCCTCTACTGCCCGCACCCTCCGAGCTCCTGCCAGGTGCCAGGTGCCCAGATGGGAAACCCGGGGGTGCCCTAGGGAGGGGGCAGCCCCAAGCCTCAGTGCTGCCCCTGCCTTCCCCGGCTCGGGGTCTCTCCCCCAGTGCCTCTCCCTGTCTCTCTGTTCTCTCTTCCAGAGCAGAGCCCCTAGCCTCACCTCTCGCTCCGGTCTGGGTCGGGCCGAGATTGCTGCTACCTGCAGCCCCTCATCCACCCCATGCATCCCTCCGTGGACCTAACAATAAACCTGCTTCCGGCTCCACCTACTGCTTCGTGTCTCTTGGGTGGCACGGTGGGGAGAGGGCAGTTGTGCGCACTCTGGCCCCCTCCCCTCTCTCCCTCCCCTCATCACAGCCTGGATGAACCCTAGCTGGTAGGAACCCCCTCCGTGGGGCCACTGGCCCCTCTGCCAGAAAGCCTTGCCCAGCATCCCCCAATCCATTATGAAGATGGGGCACTGAGGCCCAGAGAGGGATGAGGGCTTGCTTGAGTTCACACAGGGAAACCAGTCTCTCTCTACTCCCCCACTGGGTCCCCAGCGGCTGAGCTGGGAGCATCCTTGGACCAGCTCCTGTTCAGGGGATGACTCATGCCCCAGGTGTGCTGGGCTGGGGGAGCCTGACCCAGAGCAGAAAGGCCCAGGGAGATAGCCATCGATGGGCAGGCTGGTCGCCCGCATCCAGGGGCTGTTCCCTCTGCCCTGTGGGGAGCAGGCCCATGGAGGAAGGCAGGCCGTGCTGGGACTCCTCACTTCTGGAAGCCTCCCAGCTCAGACGCTTCTGCAGCCTGGGGTGGGGCTGGGCAGATGCCTCCCGTGGCTGGTGCAGAAAGAAGCTCACTCTGCAAGCGCATGACCAGCTGGCCCAGTGGGGAAAGAGGGCACCAGACATGCTTTTGATCAGTGTGAACTTGAACTTCCCTCAACTAACCCCCAGGGCAGTGCCCAGACCCTGGGTGAGAGGCAAAGTGGACAAGGGGAGGCCCCTCTGTTCCCCGTGGGGACCCAGGGAAGGCTGGACTGGTCCCAGCTGGGTGCAGGTGGGAGCCCCGGGGTGGATGAATTTGGGAGTTGCTGGGGTCAGGTGTGGATGAAGGACACCCTCGTCTCCTTCCCCCTCAGCAGAGTCTAACCTCGCTCACTTTGTCACCCCCAGAGTTGTGACTTGGGCCCAGGACTCCCCAGGCCCAGGAGCCCCTGGGGGTGTGTGTGGGGGGGATCCTGGAGGATATACATCTGAGTGCCACCTGTTTCAGCCAAATCCAGGAAGCCCAAGAAACTCTAGATTGTTCCTTCACCCATGTGGTGGGGTGTTCAATCTGACTGAGCCAGAGGGCAGTGAGGGCAGCCAGGGGGGCAGAATCAGGCTGCTGGCACCCGCTCACAGCCCTGTGGCCATCCTCTCTCAGCCCTGTGTTCAGGTCAGGTCTTCACCGACCGGTCGGGGGTTCTCAGCAGCCCTGAATACCCGCAGCCATACCCCAAACTCTCAAGTTGCACCTATGGCATCCAGCTGGAGGAGGGGTTCAGCATCCCTGGACTTTGTGGGGTCCTTCGAGGTGGAGACACACTCGGACACCCAGTGCCCCTACGACACCCTCAAGGTCCGGCTCCCTGGATCTACACCTCCTCTGGCTCTGGCGGCTCCAGAGGTGACAGGGCCTCTTTTGCTTTCAGATTCAAACCAACAAAGAGGAATATGGCCCATTTTGTGAGACAACATTGCCCCCTAGGATTGAAACTAAAAGCAATGCTGTGACCATCACCTTTGTCACTGATCAGTCGGGGAACCACACAGGCTGGAAGATCCACTACACCAGCACAGGTGAGGGCAAGTGGGTCTTGGATCCCAGCAGCAAGCTCTTCCCGGAGTGTCGAGGAGCTACATAGCTCTTCCTGACTAGGCCTGGGGAGTGCAGGGGAGTAGAAAGTTTTCCTCGGCCCTCTAGGGTTCCTGGCTGGGTCTGAAAAGTAAACTGACAAAGACAGATCAACAGGAGAAAAACATCCACACTTATGCAATATAAGGTCTACGTGGCATGGGAGACTTTGCAATGCAGGAAAGACCCAGAGGAACACTTAGGCTTGCGTATTTCTGTGGGGGGTGTTTGCAGAAGAGGAGACAGTCATGGGGAAAAATGACAGGTTAAGGCAAGTGTTGTAAATGGGGGAAACTTAGCAAGTCCTCTTTATTTGGATTCTTCTTGGTTCCCTTTGTCTTTGGAGATAAGGATGCTTCTTCCCTCCTGGTATAGGGAGGGCAACTGTCACGTGACGGTACGTGAGGGTCTTCTGACTGTGACGGGGAAGAAGGGTGAGGGAGGGGGCAGAGGTCCGAGGGATCTCCCTGCTTCTGTTTTCTCAAACTCCTTCAGCTTAAAATATTCAACATGGCCAGGGGCCGTATTTTGGGGTAGTGCATCCTGAACTCCATCAGAAGACAAACCAGGTTTGAGTGAGGGTGGTCTGTGAGACAGTGGTTCCTAAGGGGAAATGCCACCCACTCACCCACCCACCCACCCACCCGCCTATCCCTCTCCTCTCTCTTCCTTCTCTCCCTCCCTTCTTGCAACCACCCATCCACTCAACCGGCCCTCCTTCCATCTGTAGGAGAGGAAAAAACGATGTTCCCTCTGCCCTCCTAAATTCTTGGCTGGGACCAAGAAACAGATTAACAAGAAGAAAACAAACAAGTTTGTTAAGGTGTATGTCTCATGCATACGTGGGAGATTACCCACGGGAGAATGGGGACTTAGAACTCAAGGTGTCAGTACCATCTTCAGCTAAAGACAAAAGAGAGGAGGGTGTGGGGGAAGCCAGTTATGGGGAGGTGCCCATGACTGGGAAAAGTACGGTAAACAAAAGTAAGGTTTGTTATACAGATGTAAGACCCTGCCTTCCCCAGGGACGAGTTTCTAGTGATTTAGTCATCTTTCTCCTGGGACAGAGAGGGAGACACTCTTAATGGACATTTCTTGTGTGACTATAAAGTTCCCTTACAAAAGGATACTTTTACTCTGTTTTCAGACCTTCTCCTGTGTCTGCTATTTCTGAAAATAATCAGCTCAAAATAATCCTTATGCCAAAGAAACATATTCTGTAGTGCCATATTCTGCCAACCTTCATATCCATCCATCAAAAACAAAAAACCAAATTCCACTGACTAAATTTGAAGGCTTAATTGGCTTTATTAAATGATTTGTGAATTGGGCAGCATCCCATCTACCAGGTGGAGGGGAGCTCTGAAGGGAGCTGTACAAAATGGAGGGTTTTCATAGGAAAGAAGGTAGGGCAAGAAAGATAATAAGCAAAAGAAAAGATTGTTCTAGGCAAGATCACCTTCTCCTGGTGACCTTGCATCTCTCCCAACTTCTCTCCTTCCTTGGCTCCCTCCTTCCTTCCATCCATCCATCCATCCCTCTTTCCTTCCTTCCATCCATCCATCCATCCATCCTTCCTTCCTTCCATCCATCCATCCATCCATCCTTCCTTCCTTCCATCCTTCCATCCATCCTTTCATCCATCTTCCCATCCATCCATCCTTCCATCCTTCCTTCCTTCCATCCATCCTTCCTTCCATCCTTCCATCCTTCCATCCATCCATCCTTCTTTCCTTCCATCCAACCATCCATCCATCCTTCCTTCCATCCTTCTTCCATCCATCCTTCCTTC